AAGTTGTGGAAGTAGTGACAGACTTCACGTTCCTGGGATCCCAGATCACCGCAGACTGTGACAGCAGCCATGAAAGCGCTCCTTGGGAGGAAAGCGATGGCGAACCTAAACAGCATGATAAAAAGTAGAGACATCACCCTGCCAACAAAAGTCCGCATGGTCAAAGCAATGGTATTCCCAGTAGTCATGTATGGCTGCGAGAGTTGGACTATAAGGAAGGCCGAGTTCCGAAGAATAGATTCTTTTGAACTATGGTGCTGGAGAAGACTCTTGAGCGTCCCTTGGACTGCAAGAAGATCAAATCAGTCAATCCTAAAAGTAATCAACCCTGACTGTTCCCTGGAAAGCCAGATAATGAAACTGAAGCTCAAATACTTTGGCCACCAAATGAGAAGGGAGCACTCACTGGAGAAGACCCTGATGCTGGGAAAGATTGAAGGTCAAAAAAGACAGGGACAGCAAAGGATGAGATGGTTAGACCGAGTCATAGATGCAACGAACATGAAATTGAGCAAACTTCAGAGGACTGTGGAAGACAGGAAGGCCTGGCGTGATCTGGTCCATGGGTTCACGAAGAGTCGGACTCGACTGTGCGACTGAACAACAACAAAAGTTACCCCTGGAAAGCTCACAGGCAGAACAAGCTGGCTTGGAGGGGGGTGGAGCACCTTGGAGCACAATTCAGAAACTTCAATCAGTGCAGAATGCTGCAGCGAGGTTACTTGCGGGGATAAGCTTATGGTTGAGAGTATTTCTTTTTAAACAGATACACTGGCTACTGATTATCGTCTGGTTATTTACCTCTAAAGTTAAATGTTTTGGAACCAAAGGACAGAGTCCTCTGTTATGCTGCTGCATTACTCTCCGAGGTGAAGTGTATGAATGCTGTGGACAAGGTTTATTCTTTTGTGAGGGCTAGAGGGTGGAATGCCTTCTCCCTGGCAGTTGGTGCCAAGTCTCTTTGTGACCATTTCTGCAAAAGTGCAAATTCCCGCATTGGTGTTCTTAAACAATCAAACTATGCAAAACTTTCCACAATACATTTTGCCTCCCCAGGAGTGGATCTGAACTTTGCGGCCACTTGCCCTGCGGTTTCCAAGTCCACTGTTTCCGTGCTTTTCTCCCCTCCGGATCTGAAATCGCTGTTTTCCAGTGAGGAACTCCCATATTCTAATGTGTTTTCCCAACGTGCTGCCATTTTGGGTCATCAGTGTCATGTCTTACCTCTGCCTACAGTCCCCCCCCCCCCGGTTTTTCCCGGAGATATTCACCATTTTTTTACGTCAATCTTTTAAAAACATAATATTGATCGTGTTATAACGCTGTGATAAATGGGCAGTATGGACATGACTGCTAGAACTCCCAAGTAAGTGTTCTCCATGATCAGTGCTGCGTATAGATAATCTTTGCCTATATGGAAACAACAGGCTGCAGTAGCCATGTGGTTCTAAATCAAAATTCCTAAGTAAAGTTTCTTATTACCCTTTTTTAGAAGTAGATGCAGATGCAGCTTTCCCTGGTTCTGAAAGAATGAGGATAAGAAGTAGATATTTAAAAATCCAAAAGATGGACACTTCAGTCTTGGTGCCTTGTTTACATGGGAAAGTTACAAACTTCATGCACCGAAGCCTTCTTAGCACAGTAGGCAGCACATCGGCCTCATAATCAGGAGGGCCTTAGTTTGAACCTCAGAGGGGTCAGAGTGTTTTGCTTCAAATGGGCATTTTTAAAAAGCAACAACTGAACAACCCTTTTTTTCCTGAAGAAGCAAGCAGTGACTCACGAAAGGTCATACTCTACCACAAATTTTGTGGTAGACTGCTACAGGATTCTTCTACTGCTACAGACAGACTAACATGGCTACCCATCTTGTTTTTTCTGAATGGTCACTTTAAGTACTCCACCGAGTACTGCAGCTGCTCCTTTGGGAAGACAACAAACAATCCCAGGCTCTCTGACCTATCCAGCTTGCACGCAAGCCCCCCCTATTTTTTAAAAAACATAATAGATATATTTAAACATAACATTGGCTGTATTACAATGCAGTTTTGACCATTACAATACAGCAGTGTGCATTTTCTTCTTCATTTTTACAATGTCTTTTTTTTTGTTACAATGTGTGCCCTGGCCATGCCTTCCCACAACAGCCCCTCCAAGCTGACAGCCTCATAGCAGCTGAGGGCACCTGGCGCGACTCACATAGTTAAGGCTGCAGTTGGTGGGCGGCCAGCTCGAGGCCCGGGGGAGAGCAAAAAGTGGGCTCCGTCCGCTTGGCCACAGCGCCCGGACTCTTGTGAAACATCAACACTCTAGTTGCTCTCCTCTGCCTGCCTCTTGCTAGTTCCTCATTTTAAATGAACCCTCTAGACTACAGAGCCTTCAATCTTGGTGCCTTGTTCACACAGGAAAGTTTATTTGGATAGCAACACTTTCTACAGTTATAAACTTCTCTCCCCCCCCCCCCGCGCTCCCTCGGCCTTTTGTATCTCCCCCTCTGATAATGTTGCAACATAATTGCGCATGTGCAAAAAAATTAAAAAATAGGCTACATCACTGACATATAGCATGATAGGAGGTGGCTTGGCTCCCTTTTGAGTTACCCTTTCCCAGTAGGAATATCCTGCAATCTAGATGATGAAAACCACAAATTTAGTCCTTTTATATAGGGGAAGGTTTTCAGTCTTTAAAAAAAAAATTATTCTGTGAAAAACATGAGCATCTAGCTGTGAGCAAGTGAGTAATCTTTTTTGAGATCTTGGGCAAGGTGTACATTTTGAGGCTTGAGTTGTTTCCCCACCTCTCATGAGATATATGTTTCTTGGTTCCTGTGGCTATCAAAATTGGGTCAAGGCCAGGGCCTCTTTTGTGTAGGTGTTTGTGACCTTGATATAAGGTTCTTGCTCAGTGAATCTCTTAGTGCTGAAAGAGGAGGAAAGTGTAGGTGAATATCTCTAGTATTTCTTCACCACAGATGCCATGCGACACTGTTCACATATAAGATTATTTAATTTTAGGGGTTCAGAAAACAAAATGGATGAAAGGCGTACCAAGACAGTTACAGCTGTATGTCTTCTTCTAAATGTAGCTGTATAATCAAGGAGTTATCATCCAGTCTTCAAAGTATTTGCATTGATTGCGAGCCTTACTGAAATGAATTGGGGAAAGGGCTGCTGACAGAATTTGGGTTTCCTCATGAGCTATTGCTATAGTTTAGTGACAGAATATGATTTCCCTGTAGGAACACAACTGTCGAGAAGCTGTTGCCAGAATGGATGATATTGAAGGCTGTTTCTTACATCCGTGCAATTAAAGCTACTCAGGAGCATGACTTTTAACGGTACTAGGATGTTTTGGCGGTCATTAATTCATAGGGTCACTATACATCTGATGCAGCTTGACAGCACAGAACACACACACACACACACACACACACACACACACACGGCAGAATAATTCCAGAAGGGTAGCTGTGTTAAGTAGGTTGTACCAAAAATACACCGTACTCTTGTGGCATCTAAAATTTGTTTGTCTTTAGGATTCCACAGTTCTTCTTTGTTATTGTAAAATTCAGTCTTTCTTGTGAATATCTATGGTTTGTCCAGTTGTCTGGGGTGTGCTTGCCTACTGAAGGGTGAGCTTAAACACCTAGTCTATCTAGGGGACCCTTGAAAAAGAGTTTAAAAATGAAGTATTATAATCAGATTGGGAAGAAAATCTTGGTCAAGTGATTCCAGGGACAGTTTAGAAGTGAATTTGGATTTATGTCCCTTCAACAAGGGTATCTATGGATTTAGAACCAGGTGGGTAGCCGTGTTGGTCTGAAGCAGTAGAACAAAGTTTGCCACTCGATTCAAACTTTGTTCTATGGATTTAGAAGAAAATGATACTAACGTGCAGTACCAATGGTATCTTACAAGTTACCTCAAGTATATGATAATAACTTACATTCTTTTGAAAAAAATTATTTTAGAAATGTATAGCAATATATAAAATCTTATCAAATGTTACGTATGGGAAAAATCTGTAATTCCAAAACATAATTAATGTGTAGACCATTTATTAACAAACCATTTGATTGATTAACTCCTTATATTATTTTTAGAGATGCCAGGCAATTAGAGCTTGCTTTATGTATGTATTTTGCAGTTCTCATCAAATTCAAATTTTGGGCCACAGTTATAGGAATAATCTATGAACTGAGGGGCTACTTGGTATTAGAGTTTAAGATTTGGTTGTGTTATTTGAAAGGCTTGGTCAGAGCTCGATTCGGTGGGGATTGCAGTTCCCCCGGGTGAGGTGCGGAGGGGCGGGGCACATGACGAAGCCCCACCCCCTGCTTCCAGCCACCCTGCTTCCAGCCCTCATTCAGCCAGGAGGAGGAAGGAGAAGAGGGAGGGTAAGTTGCTTCCTCCCCGCCTCTCCCCACCCCTGCCTGCCTGGGGCCAGGGAGGGCCTTGGCGGGGCTTCCTCGCACTCCCGCTAGCCTTGCAGGTTCACCGCCGGGCCCCTGATGTCAGGGGCTGTGGCATATGCTAATGAGTTCCCCTAGCTCTTTTTCTACGAAACGACCCCTGGGCTTGGTACTGTAGATAGATTTGGAGATGATTTTTAGTTTACTAACTGGGGCAAAAATTAGGCAGTGCGGCTACACCATCATCTTTGGTTGCAGAATGCCACCAAAAATATGGAAAGCTGGTTTTCACAACTAAGTTAGTATATTGTCATATGTGAAATGCACTTAACCATCAATTATTGAAAAGAATTATTGAAAAGTAGTGCCTTTTTGTTATGTTTTGAAACAGTAAGTTCCAAAATGACATTCAACCATATACGTTTTTGATGTGACATAACCCTGTGTTTTTAAATTTTTATATTGTATGATGTTTGTTTCTCTAATATAACTTTAGTGAGTTGTGAAGCATTGTTTGTCATTATGGGATAAGTAGTATCCAGCTTAAATGCCTCCTTAAATCTCCTTTGTATATTTTCTTTCCCTTTAGTAATGGAGCACACAGCACCAACCGTTCTTGGGACTTGAATGTGCTCCCCAAAAATAAAGGAAGTTGTTTAACCACAAATCATACGTCATCTGGTTCTCCTGCAATACTTGGAAAAGGTTATCTGTTTTCATGCAGTGCTGCGAGCTATGGTGGAACGGTTGTCAAGAAAACATGGTATAAGGTACTATAAGACAGTTCTGAGCAATGAGAAAGTCTGAAGAGATCTAGTTGACACACCTTTCAAATGCACTACAGTGGGGTCAGTCTTGGAACATGCAATGGGAAATGCTTAACTGCTGTGGTGGCTCAAGTGGTTAAGACGCTGAACTGCAGACTGTGGAAGGTCAGTAGTTCAGCAGTTCGAGACCCGGGTGCCGCATGATGGAGTGAGCTCCCGTCCCTAGTTCCAGCTCCTGCCAACCTAGCAGTTCGAAAGCAAGAAATTGCAAGTAGATAAATAGGGACCACTTCAGTGGGAAGGTAACAGCATTCCGTGTGCCTTGGTGTTTAGTCATGCCGGCCACATGACCACGGAAACGTCTTCGGACAGCACTGGCTCTTCGGCTTTGAAACGGAGATGAGCACCGCAACCCTAGAGTTGGATTCGACTGGCTTTCAAGCAAGGGAACCTTTACCTTTACTTTACCTCCCATTATGTCAGTGGACATATTTTGCTAATCCACCGACGCTCCCACCTGGTCTGTTTTAGTGGTGCAAAACAATACAAGAGCTAGAAGTGAATTTTAACTCTCTTGTTTTTAACCAGGTCAAGATTCTAGTACTCGCTACTGTGAAGGATGTAGGCAACACTTTGAGGGGCATGGCTTAGTCTGCTGTCCTATACAACTAAGTTGGGAGCAATTCTTGTTAAATAAACCAGGACTTGTTTCTGAGCAAATGTGATTAGGATTGAATTGTTACGGTGCCATCCTAAAATGGTCTACTCAGAATCCTGCTTGGGCCTATTCAGTGGGGTTCACTTCCAGGAAAGTGTTTTTAGGATTACATTGTAAATATCCAAGAAAAAACAAGAGATATTAAAAAGAAATGTTAAATTTTATTATAGCCACACATTATAGTTTTCAAGTCAGGGTCCTATTTGGGGGCAATAATGGAAGCTTTTAGGCATGTAGGGTAACTAACAGTGTAATCCTAAACAGTTAATCCCTTCTACATTTGCAGACTTCAGTGGATTTGGAAGGATGTCACTTTGTCTAGGGTTGCACTGCAAGAATAAATACAGGATGTTTTGCTTTAGTTTTGAAATTGATCATATAGCATTTGGAAAAGAATAATAATAATGGTTACAAGAATTCTCTTCTTGTCCCTCTGATATGAATGAATACTGTAAACAGCAGTTTTGGCTGCAAGACTGTGTTTCTTATCAAGACTTAGACCATTGTTGATTTCCTGAACTTGACTTATACGTGACAAACAATTTCCAGTGTACAAAATGTTCTTGCTAGAACACTTAATGTAACACAAATGCAATATTTTGTGACAAATTCTGATTTGCTTTAGTGTGATAGCATGTGAGTTGTCTAAATCTGTGGTTCTCAACCTTCCTAATGCCGCGGCCCTTTAATACAGTTCCTCCTGTTGTGGTGACCCCCAACCGTAAAATTATTTTCGTTGCTACTTCATAACTGTAATTTTGCTACTGTAGCATCATGTCCTGGTGATCCCCCGCCGTGATTTGGCGAGACTTGGGAGCCCTATCCTAAGACCATCGAAAATTTGTGTCTTAGGTGACCCCTGTGAAAGGGTCGTTCAACCCCCAAAGGGGTCGCGACCCACAGGTTGAGAACCGCTGGTCTAAATAGAGTTCCACGCTGTAGCAATTAACCATCTGGGAGAAGGTGATCAGGGATATAAAGGACACTAGCAGGACTTTGGGGGGGATCAGATGATGAAGTGCCGCCTGGGAACAGACACTATTCAAAATCGCTGTTAAGGACTTGGGGGCAAGAAATCACTTGGGAGGGGGTCTGGAGACGTAAAAAGAGGCTGTCAAATGTTTACTAAGCTGTCAAATGTTTACTAAAAAACAAAATGTTCAGAACAAAATAGCAAACAGGGTTGTTTGAGATTTGGGCAGGGGTGGGGTTGGCTCATTTAGCGAGTAGTGCTAGTTGTAAAGACCACAGAGGGTGCTACAAATCTGATCGTTTCTTCAGGACACAGCAAGCCTTACATTTGCAATGTGATTTCTGTGGATGGGGCAATGGAATACAATTAATTTTATCCATATGGACATGGTTACACACACCACTAGATGAAGTACGCGAATATAATGTCTCAGATTGTGTTTATTTGTGCATATGTTATATGAAAGCCCTGCATACATGTTAAACAGTTGCAGTAGGGTTGTCAGCACTGTTCCCTCTAAGCTGTGGAGTCTCGTGAGCAAAAATTCTACTTTGTGAGCTCCTGGCATTAAAGTTGTGAGCGAGCGATTTGGCTGCTGCATAAATTAGTTTGCTCTGGAGACATCCTCCCTGAGCTAAGACAAGAATGTGTGAGCCAGAGGCTAGAAAACTGAGCTAGCTCACACTAACTCAGCTTAGAGGGAACACTGGTTGCCAGACCCCCCTGTTGGAGGCAGGGATCCCCCACCTCCAGGCCCTGCCCCCCAGCTGCTGATCAGCTGGCTGGTGGTGGTGGGACTTAGCAGGAGAAAGAGGAAGGCCCAGGCCATGTTGCTGGGGTCACACAGGAAGTGGCTTCGTTGCACCAGTGATGTCTGGGTGATGCTCTGGTATTTGGGCAAAAGCTCTGTGGTGGAAGCTGTTATTGCCCAAGTACCAGAATGTTGCAGTGATGTTGCAGCATGATGCCATCACTTCCTGTGTGATGCTGGCAACATGGTCTGGTTCTACTAGCTCTTGAGGGCTCACTTAAAGGTATATACATCAACATCATACAATTGACTTAGAAATCTGCTTAAGGTAGGGTTGCCAAGTCTTCTTACCTTGGCAGCGGGGGAGCCTCGCCGGGCTCCGGGAGCTCGTCGATGGTGCGCGCGTGCGCCGCCAGCACGTCACAGGAAGTGACGTGCTTACGTCGCTCACGTTGAGGGCGTGGCCCAGATCGTCAGAGGGAAAACCATAGAGCCACACTGCAGTTCGGGGGGCGGAGTTCCCCCCGGAGCCCGATTCCGCGGTGGCGGAAATCGGGCCTCCAAAGCGTGGGTTTTCCCGCCCCCACTTGGCAGCCCCAGCTTAAGGTGTCTGTGGCTGCCAGGTTCAAGGTGGGGCCTGGGGATCTCCCAGAATTACAGCTGATTTCCAGAGAGCAGAGCAGTTCCTCTGGAGAAAATGTCTGCTGTGGAGAGAGGACTCTGCCACATTATACCCCACTGAGGCCTGTCCCCTCCCCAAACCCTGGCCCTCCCAGGCTCCCAAATCTCCAGGAATTCCCCAACCTGGAGTAGGCAACTCTAAGGTTGGCATTGTGGATAGTAAACAGGAAGCTGTCAAATGTTTACTAAAAAACAAAATGTTCAGAGCAAAGTAGCAGACAGGGTTGTTTGAGATTTGGGAAGGGGTGGGGTTGGCTCATTTATCTGCCCTTGTGTGCTTTTGCATTTCTAAGTTTATGCTCAATAATTTTTTTTTTTTAATGTCTTAACTGGAACAGAACTGCCTCTTCAAAACAGAGGAGGAATTGTACATAGGAAAGCTAACACCTGAGGATTCTGGGAACTACACGTGTGTGGCATCCTATCTTCATGCAGGAAAGATATACAGTGCCACGAACACAATAGAAATACAAGTGAAAGAAGGTAAGACTGGAAGCAAACTCCAAAGGTAATTTTGTTTGGCACAGAGCTATTTCTCCCGTGAAGGAAGACTTAGCAGGAAAGAATCATAGGATCCACCTTAGGAGAAGAGAGGCACAGGATCTAACTTCCGTCATGGGAGAAATAGTTCCTCCAATAGAAAATGACTTTTTCTGATGTAGAAAGGCTTCTTTTGGTGGGGAAATGTCTTTTTTGTTAAAGGGAGTCTTTGTGTACATGTTTGATGCTAGAAGTCACCCTGGGGCAGTTGCTTGGTTAACCAATTCTGATGTAATTTGTCCATACATATATACCTGCAGGATCCTTTGAAAGTGCCAAGCATGTTGCTGTTTATCCATTTGGAACAATATTGATTATATAGTTCTGTTTAGAACGGGGTCCCCAGTGATGATCCCTCTAAGCTGTGGAGTCTTGTGAGCAAAACTTTTACTCTGTGAGCTACTGGCATTCTACTCTGTGTGCTACTGGCATTAAAGTTGTGAGCTACTGCATACATTAGTTTGCTCTGGAGCCATCTTTCCTGAGCTAAGACAAAAATGTGTGAGCCGGAGGCTAGAAAACTGTGAGCTAGCTCACACTAACTCAGCTTAGAGGGAACACTGGATCCCAGTGTGGTGCCCATGGGTTCCATAGCACCTGCTGACGTCTCTCCTGGCCCTCGCCAAGGGTTTTCAGAAAGTGGGTGGTTTTGCCCAGTAGGGCTTCTGATTGGCCACGGGATATTTGATTGGCTGTGCTAGGCTTGCCAGTCCCTAGGTCAGGGCGGGGGTTCCCCTGTTTTGGGGGCTTCACCCTGCTCCTGGCCGGCGGGAGAAAACCCACCCCCAAACAGCCGTGTCCCTGCGTGCCTTCCCAAACATGATGACATCACCATGCTGGGGGTGTCATGTGGGGATGCTCTGGTTTAAGGGCAAACTCTATGGTTTTGAGCTGGTTTTAACATAGAGTTTTGTCCTTAAACCAGAGCATCCCTGCATGATACCCTGGCATGATGACGTCACTTCCAGATAACATAATGACAGCAGGGACATCCTGGAATGCCCCACAAATCCCCCTGACAGAGTGACGAGGGATCTGGCAACCCTAGGCTGTGCAGATTTGGCACAAGGAGCTTCACTGTGTGACTGAAAGTAAGCTGCAGCAGCCATTTTGTGACTGCCTTGACCTTCTGCCACAGACAGCCATTTTGTAACTATGCCTACCATTCTGTGTCAGAATTCCAAAGGTGCCCATAGGCTAAAAAAGGTTAAGGACCCATGATTTAGGAACTTTCCAAAGCAAAAGGGCTTCTAGAAGCTCTCAAGGTAGCTAAAAACATATATTTCGATGGAGTGTCTGAGGCAAAGGAGTTTATGTGCATGGCTATGCTAAGGGGCTTACTAGATCATGATCCTGAGTCAAATATGTTAACATTTGTTGTTAGTAGCAGAAAATAATAAAAAATAAGCCATGCACTTTTTCTTTTCAGAAGATCCTTATACAAAGCCAAAGATAATAGGACCTGACTATGAAGAAGTCGAAATAGAAATAGGTACCTCTCACTGTTTCTAACAATATGATGAATCTTTGCGAAACTTGTATATGTGTATGTGTTGGGGGTTGTGTACACTTTATTTGAAATGGTGGGCTTCTTATTTGTATGTATACAGCGGGCAGACATCTGCACTGTATAAATCCAATCTCCTCCTCCTCCTCCTCCTCCTCCTCCTCCTCCTCCTCCTCCT